ATGGATGGATGGATGGATGGATTTACAGGAGGAATGGGATTATTCAGCAGTGTTTCCTTCTCTCCCTGCAGCCTTTCATGTCCCCCCGGTACCCTGGAGGCCCAAGGCCACCTCTCAGAATACCCAACCAGGTAAGGCTGGTCCCTGCTGCTCTGCTGACCCTCTGCTACTCACTCTGTGTCAGATGCTTCAGTCCCTGCCCATCCCTGCTAGACATACAAATTATATTTATTCCACAGTAAATATGGGGATTGTTGGTGAGAAACAGGCCTCATGAAGTGCTTTGTGTCTCCCAAAGACACTCTGGCAACTCTCTAAAAGCGCTGAATTCCCAATTTTCTCTCATCTCCATCTAAGGATGTGCAATGCCAGCGAGACAAGGATGAGTAATGAGCTGCTGTTCGTCAGCAGGGACCTTTTCTGGCCCATCTGTGAGAAGAGGGTTCTGGAAGTAGAGAACATTTGTGTTTTCAAGTTCTCCATAGTGCAGAAAGAGGAGGAGAAAGAGTTGTCAGCAGATGAAAAGTTAAAGACAAGCAGACAGAAAAACATCAGTGGAGCTCTGAGAAGAAAACTAGGTCATTTACAATATTGGGAAAAGCAGAAAGGATAAATGGAACAGGTAGTTTGGTTCAACTTTGGTTTCCAGGACTGCCTTTTGATTGTCACAATATATCCCAGCCTCACTTCTGGCTATTCACAGTTTCAACAAATTTGTCATTACTTTTGACACACTATCACCAGAACTTATGAAATCTAAATTTCAGTGAGCTGGGTGTATCTGGTGGCAAGACTCGTCCAGGTGATGTTTGGGATCAGGTAAAGCTGCCTGTGCCAGGGCTCCTTCCTCACCAAGGCCCTGAGGGACTGAATGAACCTCGATGAGGTGATCATGTGTGCAGTGCCATTAGTACTGCACTAAATATCTGATAACATTTTATTGCAATAGCTCAGTTCACTCCTGATTTTTGCACTTCCCAATACTATCTGAGCCAGAGGTGTCTGAGCCCCTGAGCCAAGGGTTTGGGTTTCACACCCTCTGTGCCTGAGCTCAGTGAATCCTGAAGTGCTGCCAGCCTGCAGGTTTGGTTTCAGAAGTGTTTTTGTCTGCACACTGTGGTATTTTCAGTCCAGAGTGGAAGGTAATCCATAATCCCAGTGAACTGCAGCTCTTGCTACATTCACATTGTGCCAAATTCATTAATTGCTGCTTTAGCAGCACTGATATTACTCAAGGTGCAGCCTGGATGGGTAGGGTGTGGAAGCAATAAACTGTTGTGGTGCAGCTTTAAGGCCCAAATTTTGATTAGGTGGTAGTTTGGTCCTGGGATTGAGGAAAAGATCCCTGCCCATGGCAGAGGGGCTGGAAGGAGATGAGCTTTAAGGTCCCTTCCAACCCAAACCATTCTGACATTCTGCTCACTCAGGATACATTTTAACTGAAAATGTGATGGTGCTTTGAAATGCTAAATAGCACCTCATGGATCAGCTACAAAGATCCATTCATAAAAGCATTTTTCCACTTGACCCAGCTGCAGGTAAAATCCTGTAAAAATGAGCTTTAAACCTAATTCAGTAAACCCAGAGGGCAGATTAATGTGGGAATTTAAAAGCACATTAACGCCTGACTCAGAGGAAACATCCAGGAATTAGGAATGAAACGTGTGTGCTGTGTCTTGAACATGAATTTGAAGGCATTCTGTGCTTTTCTGCTGTGTTTTCCCTGCCTCAGGCCCTCGGAGGTGTCCCGGGGAGTCAGCCCCTCCTGCCCAGCGGGATGGACCCCACACGGCAGCAGGGTGAGTGTGGCATCTGCACAGAGCTGATCCTTTGCCTTCTCTGGGAATTGGAAAGGGATGGTTCATTACGAGTAGCTGTAGAAGGTGATTGTGTCTTGCATAACTAAACCAGCTGTGTATTGCATATATAATGTATTTTATATTTTGTTCGCAGGTCACCCAAACATGGGCGGGCCGATGCAGAGGATGACTCCTCCAAGGGGAATGGTGCCATTAGGACCACAGGTACTTTCTGCAGAGGGGTTATCCTTAGTGACAGGCCTGTACTTAGTCTGTATTCTCTGTCTTTGCTTAGCTTGGAGATTCCCAGGGCTTGTTTTCATAATCCCTTTTTAAAACAAACAAAATCTGTTATGAGTTGCAGCTGTACAAAATTGAAATGAAAAATCTGTCATTTTCATAAATATTTGGGATTTAAAGAAGAATCCTGTCCCTTGCTTTCTTTAGAAAAGTGTTTTTTGTAATCAAGGACTGACACTGGCAAGGCAGACCTGGAGTGGAGTCAGTGTTTCCTCCTCCTCCTCCTCCTCCTCACTGATTATGCTGTTTAGGAAGAAAATATTAATACCTTCTAAGTGTGCCCAAAATACCTCTCCAAATTCTGTAAACTTTTTCTTTCATCCCCTGTTGATGTAAATTTTGTCACAGGCAGCAGAGATTTTAGTGTAAAGCGAGATGTCCAGGCTGCTGTTTGTGCCCCTGAGCATCTCTGGCTCTGTCCCAGGGGGACAAGGACAGGCCTGGTGCACCCCTGGAACACAAATGCAGGAATTTCCTCTGTGTTTTGTCAGCAGCACGTGGGTGGTGGTGTCCCTCCCTGGTGCTGCCTGTGTTTTGTTTCACAGTGGGCTTGTTGTGCCCACACTGTGCATTTTTGCTTCCCCATTTCAGATAATCTCCCTGGTGGCTTCTTGTTTGAATAACAGCTAAACTCTAAATTATTGAATAGCTTTGTCTTTCAAGTCTGTTCACAACTGTCTGTACAGTTTTGGGTATTTCTGCCACCAACCAGTTGTGCAGTTCTTCACAATCTCTGCTGAGCGGCCAGCAAAACATATATAAATTTAAAATAAAATATATTTGCAATTTTTTTAATGTAGCCCTGAAATGTATTTGCCCTTTTTGGAGGTAGAAAGAGAAGCTCTATATGCCATATGAGATTGAGCTGATCCTTTATGCAGCACCCTTAGTCACACTGCAGGCAAATCTCATGCCACTTTTTAGGAGGATAATTTTTCCATTTCTGCTGTCATTTAAGATCCAGTGTTTTTGTAAGCTTCTTCTTTCTTGTGCTCAACATCCTAACCTACACAAAATTTAAGTACTCAAAATTTTAAGTTCACCAATGACTCCATAATTGGATCACCAAATACCTGGGCTCAGCAGAGAGCATCACTGCTCTGGAAGGACACCTTTATGGGTGGCAGTGCTGTTATTCAGGCCAAAGGAGTAAATCTGCTTAGGATTAGCAGTAATTACAGGTGGAAAATTGTCAGGTGAGACAGAATGTTCTGCTTCTATTCCATTGAATAAAAATAGGTGTAATTTATATATTTTTTTTGTAAGTAGTGCAGTCAAGCTTTGGTGATGGTTTCAGGACATACACTCAGATTTTATGGCTGTTGGGTATTTAATTTTTTAGCATTGCTAGGACATTATTTACCATATTAAATACTCTTCATTTCAATTATCAAACACCCGGGGTAGTGGAAAGTGTCCCTGCCCAGGCCAGGGGTGAACTGGATGGGCTTTAAGGTCCCATCCTGGGATTCTGTGATTTATTGGAATTGAATCGTGGAAAGAGAAATGTAATAGTGCATTAGAAAAGTTATATCATGTGTTTTAATTTTATACAAACATAATGAAATCTAGATAAAAAGAACAGCATTTAATATCTCATAATCTTAGTAGGGGGTTCTGATTTTGAATTGCCTTGGTTTAGAAGTTGACCCTTGCTGGCCATTAACTTGAACTCAATATGTGTAAATAGTATAATTCCCCCTGAAACCACGTTAACCATTCTTAGCTGGTTTCTGTTGTTTGTGTTGTTTCTCCCTGGGGTTAATGATCCCAATTTTTAGTCAACAGTCAGGGAATCCTGAGAGCATGAATGGCATGGCCTGTCGTGGCAGCAGTTGTCATTGCACAGGGATGTCATTAACCTGCTGTCCTTTCTTTCCCCCTCCCCTTTGGTTTTGTTTTTTTGTTTTGTGGTAGTCTGACCCTTGGTTGTCGTTGCAGAACTATGGAGGTGCCATGAGACCCCCTCTGAACGCTTTAGGTGGCCCGGGGATGCCTGGGATGAACATGTAAGCACAACACCAATCCTACTGTACATGGAAAATGCCATTATTGCATTGCAGAAGGAGCGATTGGGACAGACAAGGCAACGAGAATGTGCTTTGATGACCAATAATTGCAATTTTAAGAACTGAACCCACAGTCTTACAGGAGCCTTGGCTGTCCTAACAAGTCTGTGCAAATACTCAGTTTCTTTCACAGATCAAACTTCAAACACTGGGAATATTTTGTCAATATAATCACTGATATATCCTTGTATGCATTTTTAGAAATGACATTATTTATATTTCTACTTACTGAATATCTCGTGAGGAATGCTTTTTCTCTGCAAAAATAAATCAGTACTTAATTGTAGCAAAATAGCCTTTGTCTAGAACTATTTACAAGAAAGACACAATTGATTTGAAAGTCTTCCTCAACTGCAGTTCTTGTTTCCTTAAATACATTTATTTCCAGTCTAAACACATAGAGGAGGTTTACAGATATGAGTGTATTTCTGTCAGTGTTTCTGTGTATTTCTGGGTCTGGAAAATCTTCTGATAAAAATGGATATAATCTGAGTTCAGATTTGTTCTAAATGTGAACGTAGCCATGGCAGGGTGTTGCACCTTGTATCCCTGAAGACAGCCCCCCTTTAAAATGTATAGAAATACTGCAGATGTAACATTAAGAAAGCAGTAAAGATTTCTATATGCTTTCTCATTATATCATAGATACCCTTTTTTACTCCAGTTTTTATGGAAAATGTAAATAAGAAATAATAACTTCAATTTCGAGTAAAAAGTTACTACTGAAGAAGAAGTCAAAGAGGTACACAAATAGATAATGTAATTTTGGAAAAACCACTGTACCTCTAACAGGTTTGGATTTCCAGACATACCTTGAAATCTTGAAGCAAATAAACTAAAATCTGAAGTCGTGTGTTGCTCTATCATATGCATCACATATGGGGATTTAAGACAACTCTAGGAGCCTTCCTGAGAGTAGACATTTATGGTTTTCAATTAAATTGATGTAGAAAAAATACTTAGACATTTGAAATTCAGTGTGAGTCAAGTATAGGCACTGTAGAAGTTTTCCTCAGCAGAAGGCTGTATAAAAAAAAAGGAAATTAACTTTCCAGAAGTAAACTGAGGGATGGATAAGATATTTTGAAACTATTTATTCACATAAATGAGAATTTCCCCAGGAAAAATAAGAAAAGAGTTTTCTGTATGACAAAAAGATTTCCTGGCCTACCAGAAAGAGAGAATATGGATTGAAGTACTTATACTGTGCTCTTTATAAACACATTTTATCAAAGGGTTGCTCTGAATTGCGTTTAATCCCCTGCAACCCACACCTGCAGCACTGCTGGGTGATTCCTGCCTTTGTCATCAGCAGCACCATCAGATTCCTGTTGGGCACAGCTGATGCCCAGCCCATCTTCTTCCACAGAATAACTTCATTTTAGGCTCTAAGTTTTTCAGTTGGAACTTGGCACAGCCGTTTTTAGGAAGATTTCATGTCTCTGCCAGTTTTTGGAAGAGAAAGGCAGATTTCAGGGAGCCTCAGTGTTATATTTCACTGGAGATTTTTAACACCCGGTGTGACCTGCAGTGCTGTCTCAAGCACTAAGAATATCTCAGTCATGCCTCAGATTTAAAAAAAAAAAAATAAAAGAAAAAGGTGTGATTTTGTCTTTTAACTTCAATTCACAAACTTGAGTCTAGATGTTTCATTTCCTGATGGAATATATTTGCCTCTTGGGAAACTGAAATTTCAGACTTTTATTTTTTCAAGCCAGGATTGACACTTACAGGATAAACTCTAAAAAAATTACAGAAAAAAAAATGGTCATAGCAACAGAGACCTTGTGAAGTGTTTTGGAATTGGTGCTTGTAGGGTTATGTTTTATGACCTTGTTGGTGCTTCCAAAATAAACATTTAGTAAAAGACAAAAGACCTGCTTGCATGGAATTAAAAAAATAAGAAAAATTGCAGTTTGGGAGTTTTAATGCGTGTTTTATAAGCATTTGGCTCCACAAAATCCATGTGGCTTTCCAGCAAAATCTGCTGCAGTGATTTCTAAGTCTGTATTTAAAGCTGTCCAATAAATCTGAAAATTCCAACACCTTTTTAGATGAAAGGTGAGTTCCCATGTCTCAGTGTAATTTCTGAGTTTCCATATTCCTGTGGCTTAACCCAGTTTTGTCTCTGAGTCAGTACATGTCACAGAAATGAGTGCAAGGGTTTGGGGTTAAAACAGACTTTTAAATGTTGTTACAAATATTCGTGATTTTTCTGAAAGAGGGGATCCAATAAACCACTGAAAAATAAGAAAAAGAACAGCAAGACCCAAAAAAAAAAATTTTAATATTTCACTATGTGATCAGCAGAGGAGAAATTGCTGAATATTTGACCTGAGGAGCACTTTCTCTCTCAGTCTTTCTTTGAATGATGCAGAAAAGACCATTCCAACATTCTTGATTTCTATCATTCCAACAATAAAGGCAGTGGAAATAAATAAATTTTCTGTTGATTTTTTTCTTTGAGATTGTTCCTTTATAGTTTCATCAACAATGTAATAAAAAAATAAGATTCAATATTAAATCCCTCAGGCAATGTATGCACTTAATAGCTTTTATTTCTGCAGGACTTAGGGAACTTTCAGAACTCATTAATGAAGGGTGATTCTTTCTGTGTGTTCCAGTCTCTCTCCCATGCCTGGCGAGCTGCAGTGGTTAATGTTGCTTTTCTGAGGCCAAAAGGCCATTGAAAATGTGAAAGTTTTGTCATCTGCTCTGCCTCTCTGTTGTCAGGGCCTTCAGAAAGTGATTCAGCCCTGTTTGTAAATAAGCAGGAGCTCTTGGTACTCCCAGAAATAATTATGGATTTGGGACATTGTGAGCATGGAGATTTTGCCTCTGGTGTGTCTGAGTCCCCTCTGCATTGCTAAGAGATGAAGCCTCACCCCCAAAATATTTTTCTGGGTTTAGCTGAGGGTGAGAAACTTAAAGTAACAGCAAAAGTTGTGAGAAAAACCCTCTGGGGGTTTTCTGGATGTAATACATGACATTTATATCATGGCTGTTGTTGTTCTCATTATGGTCACCATCATCATGGTCATCATCATCATCCTCATCACCATACAGGGATCATAGCAACCTGTATGGTTTGTATGGCTTGCTCTTTTACAAATTAGGTGTTCCCAAAACATTTATTAGCTAATTGCACAAGTTTTGCTAATGAAACCTGACAATTCTGCAGTATTGTAGATCCACAGTAAATGAATCCATCCTCAGCGCTTCAGGCATGTGCTTAATCTTGTGAGCAAGATCACTGGTTTTATGACTGAACATTTATTTCTTTTATGACTTGAATTTATTTTCAGAGTAGTAAATAAATTAATCAACTCACCAAATGACTGAATAGCAGTGCCACAACAAAAATTCTGCTCTTGCATTGTAACTTAGTGTAGTTATGGTTTGTAAACACACTTGAGCTTGAAAAAAAGCCATTTCCTTCCTCTGGAAGCAGGTTATTCAGATTTTTTACCCCAGAGCTGGTCAGAGGATGAGGGTGGTTCTGTGTCTCATCATTCTTCTTCTGTTTCAGGGGTCCTGGGGGTGGTAGACCTTGGCCAAACCCAACCAATGCCAATTCTGTAAGTAAATATTACAAATATATTTGACATCTCTTGGGTTCAGGGAAGTGTCTTCATGCCAGGCCCAGCCCTGCTGTAACATCAAGGTTGTCCTGGCATCCTGCACGAACAGGACATTTCTGGTATTTCTCCAGAAGGCAGAAATTCTTCATTTTCATTCAGGGATCATATATCATTAGTTTAAAAGTGTCAATTTTGGCACTTGTAGATGGATAAGGTGGGTCTGGCTTGCCCTGCTAAACAGTTCTTCCTGGTTTTCTCAGTTTTGGCTTTTTAATTCTATTAGTGAAATTCTTCTCTTTTCTTTTGCATAAACTGAATTAAAATTGATATTTTTTAGCTGATAGTTAAAGTCTTTTCAGTCCCTGAAGTCAATTGGCAAGTTCAGTAATAGATTTATTTGTAACAGTAGTTTGGCTGACAAGTTGTCTGTAGAGAAATTTGTGTTTGTCAGTGCACTTGTTGCTCCCACAACAGCACTGGCCTGTGTTCCTTTGGGGAGAATAACAGCAAAGGCAGAAACAAAGAAGAAAACAAGATTATTCACAGGATTTCTCCAGGACAGTGTCCTTCAGAAAACATAAATAAAAAATGGGAATAGATACCAATATCTTCTAAGGTGAAAGATGTGGTAGCTTCTTTGCCTTTTGTGGTTAAGATTGTATTGAAAATTAGGTATCTCTCAAGAACATACAAATTCAGTTTGTGCTTGGCTGACTGAAGTCCTGCTGACTGAAATACAAGTATGTGCTGCCTGAGTCCATGCACCTTATAAACTACATTGCCTTAGTAATCTTATACCTTAACATTCTAATACTTCATTGGTTTTTAGTCAATTTTTTGAAATTGCTGAAAAGAAGTGTTTGTTTTGACAGCAGAAGCATTTCCCCATGATTTTAGCTGTGTCCTTAGTCACTCTAATTGAATCAGCTCTCACCTGCAGCTGCAGGAGCCCATCCCAGCACAGAGGGACCCAGAATCACAGTTTTTTCTGTTGATGTTACAGATACCTTATTCCTCAGCCTCTCCTGGGAACTACGTGGTGAGTGCCTTTGTGTGTGTTTGTTGGACATCACATCTCGTTTGGGCAGAGAAACAGCAGCCCAGATGTTGAGGGGAGCCCCGGTGTGCTGGCTGAACATCTGGCCTGCCCCGAGGTTTCCCAGCCCCTCTGGTGCAGATGTGGGTGCTCCCCACCAGGATCATTGTCAGCCTGCTCCAAATTGTCACTTCAGACAAAACCCCTTTTGAACTTCTGCAGGATAAAGGTGTTAATGTGTAATGCTGGGTTTTGTCTCTGTAACTGGAGATTAACTTTGTTATTTTACAATCTCTATTGTTGTTGTTGTTGTTGCGCTCAGGTTATCTGTATGGCTGAGGAGCTTTTCCCAGGCAGATCGTTTACTCTGTTTTTACCACATGCACATGGCTGGTGTCACAGGGCAAGGAGGGAGAATTATAGAATTAAAAGCAATTTATTTTGTCATTTCTTAAAAAAATTAGATGGGGGAAAAGTTATGATTCTTGCAAGTGTTTGTAACTGTAGGCCTCATTTTGTTGCAACTTGGTGGAAACAGTCAATATTTGCTGTCTCCAAATCAGTTCTTTCAGTGCAGAACTTCACAGAGCTCTCTCTGCTTGGAGGAGGTTTTGTGGGTTTGCCACATTCTATTGTTGAAGAGTTTAAAGACATTTTGGGAATATTTGACTCCATAGAGAGCAACTTTTTGGGGATGAGGGATGGGCTGGAAAGCTCCTAAAAAAGGTTTTTAGTGAAAAGATTTGTAATCTGAAATTACTCACTTTGAGAATTTAATAAGATTAATCTATATATAATATATTAATATATGCTGGTATAAAAACTTATCCACTAATATAGACATATATATAATATGTATAAATATACAAATATATACTTTTTATACATTAATAATATTATATTCTCAGAGTGAAAATCATTGACACCAAAAAACTCTCTAAGAGAGGGAAAAACACAAACAAAGAGCAAATTTAAAATGAGATGAAAAAGTTAATGAGGACAAGTAACTTCTCTCATAAATGTTCAGTTAGTTGTTCCTACATCTTTTTATCAGATGTTTAAAAACATGCAGATTGAGCCCTTAAAAAAATCAAGTAAGTGAGATGCACAGGTATATAGAGAGCCTGTGATGCCTAGGCAGTCATATGGGTTGGGATAAAATGTGGATATAAATCTATGGATAAAAGTTTATAGGTAAAAAATATATGCATAGGTATCCTGTAAGCAGACAGAATACCCAGACCTTTGTAATCACTGCCACTGAAAAGATATCCCTGTCTGAACAGAGTGTCTGCTGTTTTAAATGATAACAAAAGAGGTAAAGTACAGTAACGTCCATATGGCAATGAAAATTATAATTATTTCTAGCAGTTATGTATGTTTTATTAGAGAAAGTCAATATTTATTTGTGTAACAGCCAGAGCATTTTTTGTTTCTTAGCCTTGATCAGATTTGTGACATGGAAGAAACCAAAACTTTAAAAAATAAATGTTCCCTGATATGGGGAGGGGTGTGTGGGGTGTGTGTGTCTGTTTTAGTTTTTTTCTGACCTTTTAATTCATGCTAACTGAAAGTTTTTACTCTCCCCAGGGTCCTCCAGGCGGTGGAGGGCCACCTGGAACACCCATCATGCCTAGTCCTGCAGGTACTGAAACACACTTGGAACTAGCAAAATAAAGATTTTAGGAAGTGCACTTTTGGGTTTTTTCAATAATCAAATAACAAAATTATTGGGTCTATATTTTCTGTATCAGGGGGTTTTTTTCCCTACTTGCTACTTGCTAACCTCTCAGAGGAGGGTAGGGAATTTTCCTAACTGGCCACAAAAACTTACTGCACCAGTATATTACTTCATTGAAAACAATTCTGGGGATTTAGATATATAAAAATAAAAATCAAAACCAAGCCAAATAAAACCCTTCCAAAACATGAACAAACCAAAAAAGGCAACCTAAGGTAAAGATATTTTGAAGTTCTGTGTTCCAAAGCATGAAAACACTTAGAAATTGGCTACCTGTGAGTTTTGCCAAGGTATTTACTCACCTGTGAGACCAGCAGCTGAGAGATTCCACAGGCCAACCATCCCTGTGTGCTCTGACATGAGCCAGGACAGCAGACAGGCTTTTTCCCAGAACTTGGGGACAGCCAGGGATGTGTGTTCACAAGATTCTGGTGGACAAAGAACTTTTTCCCTGCCTCACTGAATACTGAAAATAACTTAATAAGCTGATTTTACTTCAGGCTAAAAACCTTTCTGTTTCCCCTTTTCCTCAGACAGCACCATAGAATGTTTAGTGATAGGTAGTGCTCTGTATATAATGGAATTATTAGCTTGGATTAATGCTTAGAAAATCATCTTGGAAATATTGATTAGTAGACAAAATCCTTGATTTACCTTCCGGTTGTACATAGAATGTCATTGGGTGTGAAATGGGTCTGGATGCAGAGTGCTGAGCTCTTTTTATTCATTATTATTTATGCAGATAGTGATTTTCCAGAGTTGCCAATATTTTTTTTTAAATCACACTGTCCCCTTAGGGATGTATACAGACTTTTGTCAGGTCATTGTCCTTTCAGTTTTTGTCATTTTGGGGTTTTTCTGCAAGCATTGCACCAGGCTGCACCATGAAGATAGATCAGCTAAAGCCTCCCTCAGGAGTGAGGGATCTTTGCACAGTGTTCCATTGAAGACTTGGATATATTCAAATTCATATGGCTTTGACAGGGATGAGAGTGAAAAACTGTAACTCTTGGTCTGTGTAAGGAGAAGCTTTTTATCATTTATTAGAGATGGAAAGCAAATTACAGGAAGTACTGATAAGAAACAAACTCCTGTTCTATGAATAATATTGAAGATGAGTGAAGAAATTTAGAGCTCCAGGAAACAGGATTTTAGGAATTCAATAGTTAGAGATTCTTGGTGATTTATAAACCTTTTAACAGTCATGCATAAAGCTAGAGCCCAGTAGTCGTCACTTGGGGACCATGGCAATTATTTCTTTTCATAGCCCTGTTGTGTGGCAGCAGTGGATAGAAAGAGAATAAAATCTGCCATTATATTGCCACTGTGTATAGCACTGAGGCACAGTAATAATATGAACAAAATGACAGGAAATGTATGAGGTGAGTAATTTTATTGAAAAGTGTATTTTAGCACTTAAAATAATCTCTTATTACAGATTCAACCAACTCTGGAGACAACATGTACACTTTAATGAACGCTGTGCCACCTGGGCCCAACAGACCTAATGTAAATATGAATTTTCTTACATCTTTCTTTCAGTAGTGTAGCCTGCTGTTTATCCAAACACTCTATTTACAGCAGCTATCATTATTGCTAAGCTTTTCTTTTTTATGGGTGGCTCTTCAGTTATGGGCCTCTGGGAAAAAAAAAAACTGCCTGTAGAACTTAGAAGTAAATATATGTAGATATGCTAAGTCATTATGCAGTAAATTGCAGATTGTTTGGCTATAATGGTAGTATCTTTTAAATGTGTGAAGAGCTAAATTTAAGGTTAATTATGTAATTGGATAGAAACTGCTCAAGTTGTGAAGGTGATGAGGAGCTTTTACAACTTAGGATAGGTCTGGTGGGGTTTGAAAGCTGTTAATTAATCACTGATGGATTTTAGGGAGTTATTAAAGTTCCCTATAACTCCAGTGGGGATGAGGCTGAGTTGCCAGCAGCAGTCTGAAAAGCCGTACAAAACCAAAACTGAAGTAAATAATAAATTATTACTCTATTGGATTCCAGCTTACAGAGATGACAGTCTCCAAAAATCATGAAATTGACCCCAAAAAATGCTGGTTTTCAGTCTTCACAAGACACCTCATAAAGGTCTGAATGGGGCTTGGGAGTCTCTTCTCATTCAGAGCTCAGGATTTGTCGTTACTTTTTTCCGTCCCTTCTCCTGAGGAGTATTTTCTCTTGATTAGGTTGTGTGATAAATAGCTGTGCATTTATTAATGCCTGCTCCTTTGTAGTTCCCACTGGGGCCAGGCTCGGATGGACCCATGAGCGGACTGGGCGGAATGGACTCGCACCATATGAACGGATCATTAGGTAACAGTAACAGGAAATGCTGAATTCCCAGTGCCCCTGCTGCTCTCTGGGACCAATTCCTGGAGATCTGTGGAAGACACTTTGTTAAAATGGATGGAAAAAAACTCTGTGTCCATCAGTGAGATGAAGGGAGTGATTTGAAGAGGCTGTGGCAATGAAAAAAGAAGTAATTGAAGCTCAGTGAGCAGACTTGTTGTGGACAATAACCATTCAGCATAGCCTCTGTCTCCTGAAGAGAGTTACTTTTATTGTTTTAGGAAACCTGTCCCTGACATTTTGGATTACTTTATATAAGGACACTTTTGCAGCCTTTCTTGACCTATTACAATCCTAAAATGGGTAGTTGGTTTAACTAGTAATGATGCAAAATTGCATTCAAGTCAATGAAAAACTGTGTGAGGCTGCCACACCTTTTTCTATCACTTTCTGCAAGCTGAGAATATTCTGTTCTTAGCTAAAATGAAAAATTCAATTGCAATTATGGGAGGATTATACATGTACCTAGCACATAGTTTATCCTTTTGGGCTATGACAAAATAACTCCTGACAACATCTATATATCTGGAGTTTTTGGAGAGAGAAATCATATTCCTTCTCAGCCCTAGTTTACCTGGCTGTATGAAGGAGCTGTTTCAGTCTTCTCCCACAGCTCTATTTCTGATGGTTTTGCTGTGATCTCTTCTAGTTTTGTTCTCAGTACTCTCCCAGAATTTGTCTTCCCTGAAAATACATGTCTTTTGCTGCTAAAAAAAACGCTTTTCTTTGTTCATGCATCCTAAAATTGCATTTCCCCTATTCTCTGCTTTACCCGAGGTGAGGGCTACAGCATGTGAAAAAAGCCCTCAGTTTTCACTTGTCTTGCACTCACTATATTTAATTTCATTTGGTTTCCATTACTGTGCTCATCAGGATCATCTGTTTTCTTCTAAGAGATACTCAGTACATGTAGTGCAGCAACAGTTGATGGAGCCTCAGACTAATTGAGTGGATTACTCTGTACCAAATGTAAACTTTTACTGAGTTGGTTGTTTTGTAAAATGTTGATGTTGCACTATGTATTTTCTGTGGAAAAAAAATAATTATTGGATTAGCTTCAGCTCAAAATTTACTGAGCAATTGTGTGTTTTAATTTCAGGCTCAGGAGACATGGACAGTATTTCCAAAGTGAGTATCTAGTCAAATATCTGGAATTTTTAGAGTGTTTCACTCTAAACTCATTTCCTTTGTCTCCGTTATGAATCCTTTCCTTATACACATTTATTATATCATATCTATATTATATATAATTACCTCCAGTTCTTAATCTGACTGAGCATGTTGTAGCCTTTGGTGCTCTTAAAATAAATGAAACCAGTTCTAATAATCAATTCTAGTCAAATGTAACTTTGGCACAATCTCCTTAGGGTGTTGCAGGATTGGGTTTGTCACCTCTCTAAGGTAATGTTAATATCTTAATCCTCAGGATAAATTTCCAAAAACTAGATTAAGAAGTACTTTCAGCAGAAGTACTGTTTTGATGCCACAATCATTACATAGCTGGAAAAGGGTGTGAGTTTAATCTGCAGGGATTTTGCATTTACAAAAATAATACTTGAATATGTTACTTCTGTAAAAATAAAGCTTCTGTGGATGGGATCATCATTAACTTAGGAATTAATGAGCCAATGTAGTATTGGTAAATGGGCATAAATAAAAAGGACCCTGTGTTCTTAAATTTTATAACATTTTCAGACTCTTCATGATGTAAAGGGATGGATGGAAAAGACCACATTGCCTCAGCTGTGCTGTGCTGGGCTGTGCAGTGAGGGATTCAATAAAAACCTCCTGTGGGATGACCAGCATACAGCACATTTTTATCAAAGTCTGTGGTTTTTCTTCACTATCTTACTGCAAACTGCAGCATTTTTAAGGGGAAAAAATCCAAAACATTTCCATTCCCGTGGGATAATTTTTAAAGCCTGTATTCCAGTTTTAGTTGGTCAGTATGTGCTGGTACAGGTATCAGCAGCACTGAAAACTCGGACCCTGAACAATTTACCTAAAAGTCTCATAATATGTTAGCCTGCATGAATAACTCATGGAAGTGACTTTTGATCTATGTGTTTTTTAAATAAGTAAAAGAAAAATGTTAATTCTGCCTGTAAAACAGCTGTCCATAGAAAATTGATCCAGTCCTGGCAGAATCAGTACAGCTCACAGAATTCATTGCTTTCTAGAGAAGATTTTGACTAAATTAGCTAAATGGCAGAACATAAAGTTTTTTATGAACTGAGCTCAGACAAGGGCAGTAAATGAACTGAAATTATGCATGTTAAATAAAAATTACCAACCTGCATTTATTGCAATGCCCATGGAATTTGTGCAGGCACCAGGGGTACCCTTGCTTTGGAAAATCCCAGTTGGAGCTGTAGTGCTGGACCCCAAGAGGCCACAAAAGCAGCCTGGGGCAGTCACTGAAATGGGATTTTTTCAGGAATTTGGCCCTTTGGGGCTGGAGTGCTGCAGCAATGGCAGAATGCCAAAGCTTAGTTGTACACAGAGCAACATGAAACAGGGGGAAATCCCCCAGGAACAAGCAAAAGGGCAGGAGCATCATATAAAATAAATGTGACAAGGTGTGTAATTCCTGGATGTCAAGGCCAGTGGGAGTGCTGTGACTGTGTGGCCTGACCTGGTGTGTAACTCAGGCTCTGGGCTGCCCTGAATTAATGCTGCTCATTAGGGTCCCTGAATATCTGGTGTGCTGGCTTCACTGGAGAGCAGACTTGATTATATTATATTATATTATATTATTAGATAGATGTCAATTGACGCCAATATTGTTATTGTTACTGATGTCAATAACCTCTCATCAATAACCTTTGATGGACGTGTTGTCCAGTGGCCTGAGGATCACAGCTGTGGAAGTTGTGAATTAGACTGAAGAAAGCAGAAGGGCTAAGGCAGGGCTTTGACCCAGCTCTCTGCGCTGCATTTAAGATGCTGGTAAAGAATTTCTGCTTGTAGGTCATGTATGTAATTAGTTTGGTATTTATATTTATATTGCATTCCAGTTTTCTGAATTAAAAAAAAAAAAGAAAACCAAGGAAAGAACTGTGATAGATGTAAGGATTTCATTATGAGGTTTCACTGCTCCTTTTCCCTGACTACTCTTTTTCCATCGTGAGTCCTCTGAGTAGGAGATGCAGCAGTGATGGAAGGAGGATTGCCTGTGGTCCAGGCATGGCAGGGTGCTGCAAAGCAGCTTTGTAAGAGCACCTGACTGATGGCAGTGTGTAAAATAACCATGTGTGAGCTGTTGATGCACAATAATTTCTGTGGCAATTGCCTTGTTTCAGCCATTCTGCTTCTGAAGCTGCAGAGGTCTCTGTGCACTTCTGTAAGGAAAAGAGCAACAATTAATTTCTGGAAGGCTTTAGATTGTTACTATTTCTGTGGATTGTGACGATGAAGAGCAGCCCTCAGTCTGCAAAGGTCTGTGCAGACCTGATCCATCCTGCCTTTAAGTACATCTTTTGTCTGTCTTTAAGTACATACCCATAAGTCACGCGTGTCAGGGCTCACAGATGTGGCTGCATTCAACCACATGATTTAATGTGGTGACAGAACTTCCTCACATCCCTGCCGCAGCCTTTTGCAGCTTTTCTTGACTTCAGCAAAAGCAGATGCTGGCTATAGCCTGAGAATGAGGCACAGGTAAGTAATCCTTGCTTCAGGGAAGAGAACATTACTTAACAGACTAAAATTAGTGACTGAATCATGCAGAACCCTGCTGGGGCTGATTTCTCATCCTTGAGAGGCCCAGGGCACCTGAGTGCACCGAGTTCTGTGTGGAGCATGCCCTGGGCTCACCTGGTGAGGCTGCAAATGAACTGAAATCTGCAGCACTGAATCTGTACTTTGTCATCTTTTTTAACAGAACTCTCCCAGTAATATGAGCATGAGCAACCAGCCTGGCACTCCCAGGGATGACAGTGAGATGGGTGGAAACTTCCTAAACCCTTTTCAGAGCGAGAGTGTAAGTATCCCATTACCTGGGGTGAACATGTATCTGTGGTCTTTTGTTTAGAAAAAGAACCTCTACAAGTTTTGTAGTGTGCTTGTAGTGCAGCACTGTGGTCTTGCATGTTTTTTAATGGTTTCTGAAAGTACAGCATTGATTTGAATAAAAAATGCTGTGCAAAAGAGAGCTGAAACTGGAATAGGTGGGAGGCATAGGTTTACTGCAGAAACTCTTAGGGCCACGAGGTCAATGAAAAAGCAGGATTTGCACTGAAGTGTGTGATGAGAGCACCAGCAGATTCCATGTTGCAGTGTGCTGTTACGCCCATAAAAGGCAGAGGTTCCACTAGTGTTCATTCCGGGGGAAATTATGTCGGTTTTTTTTAATATATGGAACGCTCAAAGCAGCAAAATGTACGTAAACATTTTATAGAGCAAGAGCGTGGTATTGTCATACTCATGTGCCTGAGGCTGGGTTTGTAAATCCACCTCTAGGTCCCTGAATAGGAGTGTACCCTCATTGCCTGTGCCAGTGGTGACCTGCTGCTCAGTAAACAGCTTCTGTTAGATCTCAGCATAGTTGAGTTCTACGGAAAATTTCCTGGGAATCTGATTTTGAGGGGTTTTGGGAGGTTTTCTTTTTCAGGTAGTAAAAAGGAAGAGTTTCTGCCAGTTAGCCGCTGGTGGGCACACATTCAGGTTGTGTGGAGCGTTGAAGGAAACTGTCATACACAACCTAAAAAGAGCAGAGTTTAATATCTGCCAAAAGGGCAGAAAGCACAGAGGCTCCATGAAACATGGTCCCTGCTGCTGGCAGCCCTTGGCTCCCAGTCTGGCACGCTCTGCTGTGCTGAGGGCAGCCAGGGTCACTGACACAGGGCCGTGGAACAAGAGGACAGCAGTGGTGCTCTGGAGAAAATCAGTGTTCTCAGAGCCCCCCTGGGTTCTGGGTGGTTTTGTGCTGCCTGCAAGAGCCAGGGACTCAGATTTCTCAAGGTTTTGTTGAGGTGTGTCCCTGCAAGGCAGGAGTGGCACATGCCAGGGGTGTCCCTGTCTGCTCCCAGGGACTGCAGGCTCTGTAACATGGATTGCTCTCTCATCCTGGGGGACTGCTTTGCTTTCTGATCCATGTTTTGCCATTTGGCTGCTCAGAATAGGTGTTATCATGCAGTCCTTTCTCAGGGAGATTTGCTGTTCAGTTCACCAGGAATTTTGGTTAGGGGTAAGTAGCAATTCAGGGCTTACTAACAAGTTGAAAGTCCTAAACAATTTGAGAGCATGCTTTCCCAAAGTGATTCTCCAGATACCTTGGCTCAGATACAGGAGATTACTGGAGCAGGTGCTTCGCTTTAAGCCTCAGAGCTGGTGGTCAGACCTCTGTAGTCTACATTACAGGGAAGACCCATCTAAAATACTCATTCTATATGCTTGGACACTTGGAAATGGCCAGCTTGGAACTCAAGACTTGATGGGATATGTAGGGCACATGTGATTTTGCACCAGCAAATTTACCTTTCCTTTTCTTCTGTCAATTTTCAAACTGCTGATCTTCTTGCATTTTAACATTTTCCTCTACTTAGAGGATGTTAGACCAAATTAACTGTTTTTGCAGACCACAGTTTTCAATTTAAAAGCAAATTAGGTGTATGGATGTGCATTTCTTCTAGGCACTGTGGTGTCCCATTGATTACTTTAATGAAGCTCTGCTAACCTGAGGGTAGCTGTAGCTTGGGTAAAGGCTGCAGTTCAGTTTGTGTCACTACAGTTGTGAGTTGTGGGGATTGGGTTTTTGGTTCACATAAAGGAGAATGACCACTGGTGATTCAGCTCGCCCCCTAAAATTGCTAACACGAAATAATACAAACCAAAAGCCTAACTGAATCGCAGGCATACATATCTTTGTTCCTTTCTTCCCCTAAAGTAATCCAAACCTCCCCAAAATCTTGTGTGGTTCAGCTGGCCACGAATGCAGCCAGTCCATTTCAGACTAGGCACCTGCCCAGGTAAATTCCCCAGTGCCAGCAGTGGGCAGGAAGGGGAGTGGAAAGCCTCAGTGAGGTGTTGGTTCCTCACAGCACCCAGGTAACAGCAGAGCAGCCCTCGGGGGCATTGCCTTTCAGCAGTGGCTGTCTTGTGGCATGAGAGAAGCTCAGCAGAAGTTCTGAGGCACAAACTGAACTGCAGCCCCAAGAGAGGCTGCAGCACAGATTCAGGAGGGCGCTCCAGGAGCTCTGAACCCATTGCTGCCTGTGGGTGGGGAAGAATGTTTGTTAAATTGTGGATTGCTCTTTTTCAGTACTCCCCTAGCATGACAATGAGCGTGTGACCCGTTCACGAGAGTCGCCATGAAGACCACAGTGAGTTGGCCCTCCCCAGAGAGCTACTGCAGAAGAAAATTATTCGTCCCAGTGTACAGTTTAACTAAAGGATCTCAGACACAATCAGACCCACCTGTTTGGTTTTTTTTTTCTCCTACCATCTCCCCTGTTTTGTCAAGAAAGTGGGTCCCAAACACGCTTGAGACAACTGTAAGGAGTGGCATGAGAGAAGTGCCCGAGGTGGAGCTGCCAGCGCCTGTCTGTGTGTGTGTACATGTGTGGGTCAGCGTGGGGTGTGTGTGTGCCATCCAAACACACACACACACACACAGACCCCAGGACACTGTCAAATAGGATCACATGACATCTTACGTAGAAATCAGAAGTAGGGACTTTTATTCCATTTCTTTTTTTTTTTTTTCACGTTTACATTTTAATTATTAAAATTTGCTTTCCCTTTCCCATCCTGAACTATTTTATGTTGCATATATCACTGCTTTGTAAGTTATTTTTTAAGTTGAACTCAAAGGATAAATTCTTTTGATTTTGTTAGTGTCTGCCATTATGGATAGGAATAAAATTGCTTATACGAGCTTTCATTACCTTGTGTTTGATACCAGCTACCCTGTGAATCACAAATTGTACTGTCTCAAGAAATAGAAGAAAGCTCATCTTAATTTTTTGGAGAAATTTAATAACTTCCACCTAGTTTGGGGATTTTTTTTGATACTTTGCCTTTAAGAGAAAAAAAGCACTGAAGGTTATTTTTCTTCTTTAATTGAAGCCTAATATCTGCAATATCTATTTTAAATGGAAGCCTGAATTTGATACAAGCTTCTCAGTTTATATAGAGTACTATAAGGTTACTGTAAGTGAGCTCCAATTGCTATAGAATCTAGCAATAAAGTGTCAGGGCTTCTCCTGCCCTTGGAATTGAGTTTTCTATTTAGCATGGTCTTCTGTAGGGGTGGTAGTTAGTGGAAATACAGTAGAGTCCTTATCACCAAAACATTTTCCAACAACCTACAATTATGTTTCCCATTTTCAGCGATTCTCAAACATATATGAGCAATCTGTGTACCTAATTATAAACAGTATTTCCCAAGCCCATTTAGAAAATCAGGTCACCCTGCTGCTTGGGTGTGTGTTTTCTGCCATATCTGCCAGAATTAATTCCCACAAAACTTTCCAGTCAGCAGCCTTTTTTTTTTCTTTGAGCCAAAATGCCACAGTAAACTTTTTATGACTACTAGCCTTGTTGTGAGGGTGTTACCTTTTGCCATGAATAGAAAGGAGCAAAGGTCTGGGTTCTTTTAGAGGGGGAACATACAGTTAGGTATGAAAGCTGGGGCCAGAATGCAGAAAAAGGCCTAAAGGAAACGCTTCTGGAAGCATTCCCATTTCTCTTGAGGCAGAGCTCTGAAACCAAGATTATGGTACTTTTACTTAGTTCCTGATGATTTTCAGCTCCCCCAGGAAAACAGAGGTTTTCAGTTTGTAGTGATACAAAAGCTGATGATCAGCAATGCAGGCACAAAGTGGCTCAGCAGAAATTTGTGCCACAGACAAACAGCAAATTCCTCTCTTTGGACTTTAATCCAGAGGAGCCACTTGCAGAGCAGGAGCAGTTCGGGGATGTGGTATATCCATGTGCAAGGGGATTTTCTTTCATGAGCTTGTGATAAAGGAATATCACCCATATGTGATGGGCTTGTGATGGTAACTGGATGTGTAAGGAATTCTACAATCTCCTAACTAATTTTTATTTCCATATATTATACATATATGACATATGGAAATAAAAAGGTTTAACATGTTACTCTCCTGTTAGGGTTACTCAAAGATGAAAGTCTCGGAGGATCAAAATTACATTGAAGTATCAAAGATTTGATAGCGTTACTTTTTAGTAAGAACTACTTGATTAGATGTAAACATGACCTGGATAGTCATTATATGGTTTTGTAGGCTGTATTCTTATTGATTGTGAAGGTCACATTCATTTGCTTCTCTTTGGAAAGCACTTTTCCAAAGATGCTGGAAGACCCTGCTATTGGCTCGAATCACAAACACAAAATCAAGTGTAATTTCTTCAGACCCTTTGCTGTTGTCACTAACACCACTGGTGTGTCCCAATACACCCAGAGTCCAGGTGCCCTTGCAGCCTTGGTTGGCCACCTGTATTATCTGTGGTCACCCTCCAGGCACCCCAGGGCTCCTTCTGGCCCAGTTTGTCAGAGGTGTCACTGCTGCTGGGCTAAGGTAGATGGGAGCAGTGCATCGAGTGCCAAAGGCCATTCCCAGGCCAGCGAGCTGGTGGGCACCTGGGAAGGATGAAGTCTGACCTTTAAACCTGTGCATGGAACTGCTGACACAGACTGATATCAATATTAAAGCATGTTATCCTCACTTTGATACAGGAGCATAATGTCCTTTCAGCACACGATGGATTCACTGTGTCCTGCGTTTCTCACACCCACGCAGCCCCACGGGCAGCAGCTGGTGCCACTAATGCTTTGTCCAGGGCTTTACCAGGCTCCAGGAGAGGCCAGGTTCTGCAGCTGAACCATTAGAAAACAATCCTTTGTGCTAATTACTCAAATTCTAAATTACACCTTTGGATCATTTCTTTCTTAATACATAGGGCTTTTCTTAATACAAAAAGCATAGGGCTTTTTGCTTGCCCATTTCTCTTTCCTTTGCTTACAAATCCTTGTAGGATTTTCATGGTACCTGGAGTATCAATATGGGAGGAAAGACTATTCCTAAGCACTCAGTTTTTGCTCCCTCTTAAATTTTTTATGCTCCATATACGAGGAGCAATGTAACTGCTGTCTGGTTCTGTCCTTTTGCAACAGCACTGTTGATAATGTCAGAACTTGTCCAGCTCTGGTAGGAATTTTATTTTAAATGGTGCAGGGTAGATATTCTCACACTGGCTTTTTAGATGGACCTTGCTCTTTAGTATAGAAGTAAATAGAAGGTGATTCTGTAAATGGGTATTTCAGGCAGAGTTGAAGTAAGCCTTCTTAAAACCAGAAGTGATTACATCTTAGAGTAGCAGAAACGGAGAGTGAGGGATCTGTATGCTGTGAGAACTCTTGCAAATATTCCAGCTTTGTAGAAATCACCTGAAACTGGATTCACCTGTGAATTTCACAGTGAAACCAGGGTCTTACCTGCTGCTCCAACCTATGGAAAGGAGTGATCAGATGCAGATGTATTTCCATGTCACCCAGATTTTATTGCCATGTCTAAGAGCAGGGTTTGAGGCAAGGAAGGAGTTTACCTGTCTGAATCACAGGTAAAGCATGTGGACTGGTGTGCATTAAAAAGTCACTGGATATTTGCATGCAGGGATTGCATTATTTTCTTAACTACCTGAGAATGAGGAAAAACTGCAGTTTGGAACTTGCACTTCCAACCCCCAGAAATTCCGTTTTTTATTTGGATGTCCTCTGGTTGCAGAGCTGTAGCCACCCAATATGTCACATATTCAGAGTCAGAAACAACTTTCAGGCTTTCAGCCTGTTCCTCATAGTGTAGGATTAAATGTTCCATGTCCCAGGACATCCAGCTGTTCCTTTCCCTTCCAACAGGAATACCCAATGAGAAATACATAGGCTAATCATTTATTTTAAATAATTCCACTTAGGAAGAAGTGGAATAGAACCTTGCTTCTTTAAGGATGCATCAAAGGACAGCTTCTTGACCTGCCTAAAACCAGTGGAATTTTCCTCTGTTCTGTGGCAGTACTGCATGTGCAAATGATTTGGAATTAGATTTAATGAGGGACCAGCTGTTACAATATCTAGTGTTGATCACTTTATTCAAAAATGACTTTTCAGCGGATACATGTTACACAGGGTCCTATTTCTATATCAGTTGTTTATTAAGTGCCCTCCCCTGTCCCTAGTCAGCTCTGATCCACTGTTGTTGCCATGGCTAAGTATGGACTGGATTCTTCAGTATTTCACCCTACACATTTGCATTTCAAGAATGTAAAACATACCTTAATGATGTAAAACGTACAGGTAAATTTATTTTTCTTTAATTCACCATAAGTGGTGATAGAACTGTGGGTGCTGTCACAGACACACTTGGGTTTGATCAGGCCTTAAGGATGGGAATGCTGACAAAGCACATCTTTCAAATAAACCCCTATAAACTACTTCAACACTGTTATCTCACAGTGAGGATCCAGTTCATGATTTAGTGATTCAAAATAATTCTAGAAATTCAGAAATAAATTAGTTAGGTTTAAATTTTGCTGTTTGCGGCTCTTTCTACTTTTCAGATATTGGCACAGTTCTGTAAACTGCAGCTTGTGCCAGTTCTGCTGAAACGCTGATGAAACCATTCACATAAGGTCATTTTTTGGGCAGGATTTCACCCTACTCTGGGTCAAATATATAACTTACCTGTGGTGTAACATTATTTGGCAGATGTAAAAACCGAGTACATAGAGAAAAATACAGAGGGTCTGTTGAAATTACCAAAATGATGTTTCAACCTGAAAAGTGAGAAAAGAGAGTTTAAAATACTGCTTTGAGTGCACTCCTGTATAGTGTCTATGTATTGGAAACAAATTACAGTACCAAATCTAGAAAAAATAAACGTATCATCTACTCAGCACATGAAAATTCTGATCCTGCCAACAGCTTCACCTTGATTTCAAATTGAGCCTGCACGTAGTTAATTTTAACCAGCTCTAAGAACAGGTAGTATCCTTCAGGAAATTGAAAAAGTAGGACTGTAGTAATCTAAACCCATGCTTAAACATGGACAGTCTAGAGCTCAAATTAAGTCTTTCCTAAGCAGACATTATTTCACAGATGTTACTAGTGCAGGAGCCTGTTTATGTATCAACAGTACTGACATGTGGAGCAGATTTGGCTTTCTTCTGTTTCTTACTTTATTAGAGCTTTGTTCACTATTACATGAACTATTTCTGTGAATTTGTTCTTTCATCTTGTTTTCAGTTGTGCAGCCATAGTTTCCCTCCACACAGCCAACAGCTTTGCAGTTTTAGTCCAAACTTCTGTTTGGTTGCTGTTCATTTAAGCTTAAAATGTGTAAGAAAGCCTCTCATGTAATAGGAAAACTTGCCATAAAAATGTATAAAGGTTTTCTTGGGTACATGTTTTCAAATTTAATAAATACAGTTTTCGGTTATAATTTGAAATGGTCACTTTCTAGCCACTATTTCAGTTTTGTGCACAAGAGAAATGGAGAGACAAAAAGAAAATCACCTTCTTTTTTCTTTATTTTACTTCAGCATTGTAAATATTTGCTGAAAGACATGGTTCTGGGGAAATCAGATAAAAAAGAGATTTGCTGCCTAGTTGCTATAAATAATACAGCTGGACTTCATGCTGAAAGCTCCTTCCACGTCCCCAAAAATGTACAGCTTGACATCCGAGTTGTGAGACCTTGCACAAAGCCGAATTCACCAACAGTGGTTGAATTTGCCTGGCCAGTGTTTCCAGTGTGTCCCATGGATGATGCAGGGTTCTGTGGTCTCAGAGGAGTGACTGAGGTCGGGCAGGCTTGTTCCCAGGGCCAGGTGGCTCAGGCGTGGGCAGTTACCCACCAGAAACAAGGT